GTCTGGTTGAAAAAAAGACAAAAGTCCATCATCAGTTCAACCATTAAAAAAAAAAAAAAAAAAAAAAAAAAGTTATAATCATACACCCACAGTTGATCCAGATGAAGGCAAAAAAACCCAGCAAAGCATGATCCAATTTGCTCCTGCAGGGAAAAAAATTCCTTCCTGATCCCCCGAGAGGCGGTCGGATATTCCTTGGATCAACTTTACCTATAAATGTTAGTAACTATGTTATGTACATTGCAGAGCCTGCAGCTCCCGCCATGTCACAGTGTATCTACTACAATGGGGCGACAAGCGGTTAAAGAGGAACTCAAACATTTGTATCCAAACTGGCAGCACAGTATTTACTTATTACAGGTACTTGTATAGTGCCGTCAATTTACGGGACTCGCGCATTCCAGTGTGTTTTTGATGCATTCCAGTGCGTTTTTTATGCGTTTTACTGTGTTCCATTACAGTTCTGTGCAGAAAAAAATGCAGCAGGTTCTTTTTTTTTCTGCAACCGGGATGCACTGGAACTGCAAGCACTAATGGGATCTATGACATTGACAACCATATAACCTACTTTCTGTGCATTTGGGATGCAGAAAAAAAGCAACTGAAATGCATGTAATGTGAACTGGCTCTAAATACAATAAAGTATCACATATGATAGATGGTTGGCACAACCCCCAACATGTATATGAGATGACTATTTTGTATTTTGCCTATTGGTCATGATTGTCTTTGCATGCAAGTCCTCTTTCATTGTACATGTGTTGACATGCGTCTGCTGTAAAGGTACGATATTATTCATCATCTCTGAATGGCCCTTAGGGCCGCACAACTGGCTTGTTTCACAATATTATGTAAGGTTGTATTTATTTCTACTTTTCATCCTATTAAAGCTGTTTTTTTGTCAGAGCTAACATTATTTTTGGTAATCTGTGTCTTTCCGCAGGTCCTCACTAGGGCATAGAAAACAATTGTTTTCTATGTGCCCAGTTCGCACTACAGCGCTAATGTGCTGTGTGGTGTAATTCAGTGTGAAAGAACTTTCTTCACTGCACTGAATTGCACCACATGACACCATAGAGCAGCAAAATGCACCACGCTGCTATACAGTGACATGCATGGCGTGTCAGTACGGTAAAACAAGCTAGAAGAGAAAAAAAAAAAAAAAAGCAACACAATGCACTTATACACACATCACACTGCTCCCTGCCGGAGCTGGCTCTGCACTGGCCTGTGCGGTAAACTGTTGCACTTTACTATGCAGGCTAGTGTGAAGGTAGCCAACTAGGACAGAAAATAGACCATCTGAGTGCTGGAATGACACAGGTTTATGCTCAGCAAGGGAGATAACCAGAGGCGGACTGACCATTTGAGCACTCAGACACTGCCCGAGGGCCCGGGGTCAGTAGAGGGCCCCATGAAATGCCTCTGGTAACTTTTATAGGCTTTTTTGGGTGTGTTTTGACTGTGGGCCCCATGATCCCCTATTGCCCAGGGGCCCCATGAGTTGTCAGTCCGCCCCTGGAGGTAACTATTGAACTTTCATTTATCTCAATCTCTTACTGTATGATATATACAGTTCAGATGCTGCTGCAGAAACATGAGATAAATCACCTTCATGACTCACCTGCTGGCGCACTGCGTGTTCGTGCTTTCGCTTCATGTCGTTAATGTACCAGGCCACACCAGTCATGGTCTCGATGGCCTCCTCCACTACTTCATACCCTTCTTTATTCACATCAAAATGCTTGGCAATTTCCTGAAAGAAGAAGAAATCTCTAACAGGCCATGAAATCAACTATATGTACACCACATGTATATTCTATGTGCACAGCTGCTTCTATACAATACACTCCAAACATAATGTCATCATTAAGGTGGTTCTAAACCCTTACATACAGTCATGGCCGAAATTGTTGGCACCCTTGATATTTTTCCTGAAAATCAAGTATTTCACACAAAAAAGGTATTGCATTAACACATGTTTTGCTATACACATGTTTATTCCCTTTGTATGTATTGGAACAAATATAAAACAGAGGCAGAAAAGCAAATATGACATAATGTCACACAAAACCCCAAAAATGGGCTGGACAAAAGTATTGGCACCCTTAACTTAATATTTGGTTGCACACCCTTTGGAAAACATAACTGAAATCAGTCGCTTCCTATAACCATCAATAAGCTTCTGACACCTCTCACCCGGAATTTTGGACCACTCTTCCTTTGCAAACAGCTCCAGGTCTCTCTTATTGGAAGGACACCTTTTCCCAACAGCAATTTTAAGATCTCTCCACAGGTGTTCAATGGGATTTAGATCTGGGCTCATTGCTGGCCACTTCAGAACTCTCCAGCGCTTCTTTGCCATCCATTTCTGAGTGCTTTTTGACGTATGTTTGGGGTCATTGTCCTGCTGGAAGACCCAGGATCTTGGACGCAAACCCAGCTTTCTGACACTGGGCCCTACAGTGCGACCCAAAATCCTTTGGTAATCCTCAGATTTCATGATGCCTTGCACACAGTCAAGGCACCCAGTGCCAGAGGCAGCAAAACAACCCCAAAACATCATTGAACCTCCACCATATTTTACCGTAGGTACTGTGTTTTGTTCTTTGTAGGCCTCATTCCGTTTTCGGTAAACAGTAGAATGATGTGCTTTACCGAAAAGCTCTATCTTGGTCTCATCTGTCCACAAGACGTTTTCCCAGAAGGCTTTTGGCTTACTCAAGTACATTTTGGCAAACTGTAGTCTTGCTTTTTTATGTCTCTGTGTCAGCAGTGGGGTCCTCCTGGGTCTCCTGCCATAGCGTTTCATTTCATTTAAATGTCGACGGATAGTTCGCGCTGACACTGATGCTCCCTGAGCCTGCAGGACAGCTTGAATGTCTTTGGAACATGTTTGGGGCTGCTTATCCACCATCCGGACTATTCTGCGTTGCAATCTTTCATCAATTTTCCTCATCCGTCCACGACCAGGGAGATTAGCTACAGTGCCATGGGTTGCAAACTTCTTGATAATGTTGCGCACTGTGGACAAAGGCAAATCTAGTTCTCTGGAGATGGACTTGTAACCTTGAGATTGTTGATATTTTGCCACAATTTTGGTTCTCAGGTCCTCAGACAGTTCTCGTCTCCTCTTTCTGTTGTCCATGCTTAGTGTGGCACAGACAGACACACAATGCAAAGGTTAAGTGAACGTCTCTCCTTTTTATCTGCTTTCAGGTGTGATTTCTATATTGCCCACACCTGTTACTTGCCCCAGGTGAGTTTACAGGAGCATCACATGCTTGTAACATTCTTATTTATCCGCAGTTGTGAAAGGGTGCCAATACTTTTGTCCAGCCCATTTTTGGAGGTTTGTGTGACATTATGTCGAATTTGCTTTCTTTCCTCCCTTTTTTGTTTTTGTCCCAATACACACAAAGGGAATAAACATGTGTATAGCAAAACATGTGTTAATGCAATACGTTTCGTGAGAAATACATGATTTCCTGGAGAAATATCAAGGGTGCCAACAATTTCGGCCATGACTGTATACCCAATGAAGTGACTAGCCTTAGTTGATTCAAAGAGGTTAAACAAATCCTCCTTCTTAAGTTGTACCCAGGGGCGGACTGACCATTTGGAAACTTGGGCACTCCCCGAGGGCCCCATGAGATGCCCCTGGTACCTTTTTCATAGGTTTTTTTGAGTTTGGGCAAGGACACAGGGGCCCCATGATCCCCTATTGCCCGGGGGCCCCGTGAGTTTTCAGTCCGCCCCTGGTTGTACCTATTTATCCAAAGATCCATTATCTCCTGTGCTCAAAGACTCAGATCAAACAGGCGTTAGTGACAAGCACTGTGTTGTGTGTTCATCCGCTGGTGATCAGAGGTTGTGCAGCTCTATCATGAAGCTGGGGAAGCTTAATAAAACTGTAGAGGAAGATGAAAGAGAGCGCACAAACCTTGCGCATTACCTCAATAAATAGTGACTAATTTTATTAATAAGGAGATATACTCACAAAGTGATGGTATAACAGGGATAAGTAACCATAATCCAAACAGGGTTACAGGTAAATTGAAAGGGGGGGGGGGGGTGAAGGCTAACGCGTTTCAAAGGGTGCTCCCTTCTTCATCAGAGCTGGGTTGAGCAGATAGAGACGTCAGTATGGCAGAGTTCCCATGGCCATGGCAAGGAGATATTCAGCCACTGAGTGTCAGTATTACAGCAGTTCAGCCTGACTAAACAGGCTGAACCGCTGTAATACTGACACTCAGTGGCTGAATATCTCCTTGCCATGGGAACTCTGCCATACTGACGTCTCTATCTGCTCAACCCAGCTCTGATGAAGAAGGGAGCACCCTTTGAAACGCGTTAGCCTTCATCCCCCCCCCCCCCCCTTTCAATTTACCTGTAACCCTGTTTGGATTATGGTTACTTATCCCTGTTATACCATCACTTTGTGAGTATATCTCCTTATTAATAAAATTAGTCACTATTTATTGAGGTAATGCGCAAGGTTTGTGTGCTCTTTCATCTTCCTGTACCTATTTATCTGCAGGGGTTAACCTCACCCTTCTGCGTAATATGAAATGTGTTCACTCTTTCCCATTCTTAAGTATCTACTAAGAATCTCTCAGAAGGCCACATATTCATTTTTTTAGCGCTATCATCTCCCATGGTGTGTACAAAGTAACAAGGGAAGTAGTACAGGTAATACAATACATACAAGTGTTTCAATGACAAAAATGTACAGCTGTAGGGCAAAGCCTAGCAAGGACAGAACCGGCACGAGAGCTCACTGTACATTTTTTCCAATCGGCTAACTCAGATAAATGCCCTGATTGATAAGTTCTGTAGATGACACCCAACGCTGTCAGGGCAGGGAGACCAGGCTGAATGCTGTGTGTTACCTGTAGCAGGAGATGGTACTTCAGTATCCTCTGTACTGGCTTTAAGAGGTAGGCTCCCAGTGGAAGAGGCTGCTTCAGTAATTCCTGCTTCTCTCGGAAGAATTTTGCCAAGACTTTGTTCCTCATGCATTCAGTCAGGGTAGCCACAGAACTGAAATGAGGTAAAACCATCACAGTGTTGTAGTTGTTCATAATGCACATTTAAAACAAATGAATACAAATGATATATAAAACTCCGAAGACATGAGTGTTCGGTTAATTGGATCCTGTCTAAATTGTCCCTAGTATGTGTATGTATGAATGTGAGTTAGGGGCCTTAGATTGTACGCTCCTTGAGGGTTAGGGACTGATGTGAATGTACAATATATATGTAAAAGCACTGTGTAAATTGACGGCGCTATATAAAGTACCTGTAATAAATATATAATACTCCAGTGTGTTAAATAGAGTTCATGCCCAACACTAGTGTTAGCCTAGGTTCACACTATTGTGGGTGGCTGCAGGTGTTGAATTGCATCGATTCCCGCACCCACAACCAAAACGTGCGGCTCTTTAAAAATGGGCAAGGCTGCAATTCATTCTTAATAGCACCACCACAAATCCAAAAACTCAGCGCATTTGCAGGTGCAGGAAATGCTGGGAAATTGCATGGTTCAAAAGCATCATGCGATTTCCTGGCCGCTTAACTTTTAAAATGCTGCAAGAACCCTTTTCCTGCTTGAAACACAGACAGGAGCCCACTCCAATGAATGCAAAGGCGGTCCTGCATGCTCACAAAAATTGTGAACCTAGCCTAAAGGCTTATAGCAGTATTAACCCAAAACCATAAATGTATTATACTGCAGCCTACTAATCGTTCGTTGCGGTGACTCCATTGCTTTTCTTTTTTTAGTTTTTTTTTTCCCTTCTATTTTCACCTGGTGATCTGGTCAGTAACACACCTCCTGTATTAGAGTGCCCCACTCTGGATGAAGGAGCACCTTTGGACAGTGGGCATTGTCAGACTGGGGGGGAATGGGAGTGTTAGATGTACCAGCAGATTCAAATACACTAACAAATTGAGGCCAAACTCCAGATCACTTTATAATCAGTTTTTTTTTTTTTGGGACAAAGATTTGACCTACATAAATAAAAGCTGATCATTATAAGCAACCCTGTGTTTAAATGGTTTGTCTCATCCCATTAACGGATACATCTGGAAGAGAGCTTGTTCTTTTGAAAAACAACAGACTTGCTGGCTGGATCACTAGATGAAAATAGAAGAAAGAAAGCCTAAAAAAGAAAATTAATACAGCCATCACAGAATTGGGAAGCTACAATATAATAAATGTTTGCTTTTGGTTTAATAATGATTTAAAGAATTAGGTTGTAAGAGATACAGGGTGGCGTGATATAGATAACTAAAGTAAGCCTGAACATGTTCTAAGTCTTGGATAAAAAGGGGAGGGGTTAGGTCCTCTGTCGGTTCTATATTACTTTGTATTCAAGATGAAAAGGGACAGAACCAAATCATGTGAAGTCCAGTTCTAATTTTATTAGACATTAGGTACCATAAAAAGCCAACACATGTCAGGGGCTTAGAGAATAGTCCATCAGGGCTTTGTAGAGCTAAAAGATGGGTATGTTGTACTAGTAGAAATTGAGGAATTCTGCTGAAAAGTACCAAACAGGAAGGATGGCAACAAATAATGGTTTAACAGCCTTTGGCTATTGAAACAAGTGATCTCACACACCATACCCCCTTTTTTTTCTATTCAAGTCTGTGTTATGTTTGTGTACCCACTGAGACTTCATCTCAATTCTGGTCTCATTGACACTATAGGAAGTGAAAGAAAATTGAAATGAATTGCCATGTTTTGCAATTGTCACCGAAACAGGTGTCCTATCCTTAAGCTTTAAAAGGTACCATACTGTACCAGTACAAAAACATGAAAACAGTAGATAATAATGAAACCCTTTTATTAGGTTACAAAACCACCCATCGGTGGAAAAAGTTTAGTCAGACATAGACACAAAAAGGCATATGATTAAAATCAACAAGGAGTGGCTGTAGTAGGCGACGGCTGCTGCCCAAGACGTAAGGAACGTCACGGGCATCAGCGAACTACAGCCACTAACTTAGAGCAAGGTAGACTCAACTGTACAAAGAATATATACAATATCTGTACAGTTGAGTCTACCTTGCTCTAAGTTAGTGGTTGTAGTTCGCCATTGCCCGTGACATTCCTTATGTCTTGGGCAGTGGCCATCACCTACTATAGCTGTACAGTTGAGTCTACCTTGCTCTAAGTTAGTGGTTGTAGTTCGCCATTGCCGATGCCTGTGACATTCCTTACATCTTGGGCAGTGGCCATCACCTACTATAGCTGTACAGTTGAGTCTACCTTGCTCTAAGTTAGTGGTTGTAGTTTGCCATTGCCGATGCCTGTGACATTCCTTACATCTTGGGCAGTGGCCATCGCCTACTATAGCTGTACAGTTGAGTCTACCTTGCTCTAAGTTAGTGGTTGTAGTTCGCCATTGCCGATGCCCGTGACGTTCCTTACATCTTGGGCAGAGGCCGTCGCCTACTATAGAGATCCCTTGTCGACTTTAATCATATGCCTTTTTGTGTCTATGTCTGACTATATGCCTTTTGTGTCTATGTCGGACTAAACTTTTTGCAACGGGTGGTTTTGTAACCTAATAAAAGGGTTTCATTATTATCTACTGTTTCAACTTCATTTGTACTGGTACGGTATGGTACCTTTAAAGCCCCATTAGGTTTTAGAGGTTAGGGTTCTCGTTTCAATTATTTAATTAGGGGTGTGGTACCAGTAAAACCGCTACACAAGGATTGGGAGAGTTATTTTCTCTCTCCACCCTCCCACTTTCCCCTTATCTGTCCTATCCTTAAGATTTGCCCCCCACCTCCTATTTCAGCGATGGCTGCCCTATTATTTTTTTTTAGGTCTCTGACATTTAGGCCTCAGGAACTGGGAAAATATTATCCCCCTGATGGAGACAGACACAGATAAACCTCCATTCTCACCCAAAAGATGGGCTTTTTGGCTTGATTTCGACTCAATCTATTTGCCATAAGTATGCTACATTTGATTGTAAACAGGCCTTCCCATTTCAAAAAGTAGATAAATTATTAAGTCACCAGTTTGTTTATATTTCTCAATTTCTGAATCTTCAGAAAAAAATGTCCTGAAAACCCCTTTAAATCACATTTTGAAAATGCAAAAGCCCTTTTGATCCACTGGCAGCAGCCTTAGTGAAAAGCATGAAGGAGTGGCAGCTTAGAATGACAGATCAGACAGAGTGGGGTATTGACCAAAGTGAACTTCCTCTAAGCCTTGCTGGCGACAGATCTATAGGCATTGAACTGAATGTTTTATGACACGACTAGAGAGATGCCAGATAAATCACTTGGCTGGTTAGCCAATTCATGGCCCCTGTATGCTCCTGGGCCTTTTGTTAATGCTCTGCGATTCAGAACCAGCTTTATGATCTTGAAGTTTCAAACCAACAGGCAGAAATAACTGACCTATTTAATAGTCTTAAAGATTGTGGACACAAAAGGGGTATTTTTGTTAAAAAAAAAACAAAAAAAAGCTAAAAGAAAATGGAGTGTTCACCCTACTAGTGAATCAGCCATCCATGGTTATTGACCCAGCTGCTAGACAAATCGGGGTCAATTGTGAAACCTTTCCTATCTCTAGAAAATGATTTAGAGGTCATTTTACGGTTTTTCAGTTGAAATAGAAATCTTCTATTTGTGGTGTTCATTCTCGTTCAGTTTTTTTTTGTCTATGGGCTGCCAGATGGTAATAGACTTGTGTCTGTTTACATCAGGTTACCTCCGATCCGTCGTGTTTAGATCCGAAAAAAGTTAAAAAAGGAAGCAGTGTCTCTCCTTTTTTCCCCTAAACATTGACAGACTTTGAGGTAATTGGATGGAAGAGTCCATTTACATCTGTCTCCCCATAAAAAAAAAATGGTCAGGCAGACGAATCAAATAAACCCTTGTGCTCTTTAGCACAATTAAATCTTAAAGGATAAGTTCAGCTTTTCATGAAAAATAATAAATGCACATTTTTTTTAAATTCGTTTATTTTTCCTAGGGAGCATGCAGAGAATTACACCTGTGATCAGCAGATGGGTGCAATGCAGGGCTCCTGCAGACTCTCAGGATACCCCGTACAGGCAGGCAGTTACCTGAGAGCAGGAAGAATCAATGATCTACAAAGGCGCTCATCATCGCTCTCGCAGTTCATTGAGAACTGCAAGCCCTCAGCTGCAATGGCTGACGGTAGTTGTAGTTCTTTAATTAACAGGAAACTGAATGAATGATACGGCCGTGTCTGCCATATTCTTTTCAAAAAGTGACAGCGGGTGGGGGGAAAAGATTCCCCGCCCACTGTGAGAGGTGGAGATCGGCATAATTCGCAGCAGCAGCTGAAACATGTTACATGTTACATGTTCCACCCTAAATACGAGTGGAACATATAACATGTTCCAAATGGCAAACATATCTAAGGCAGAGGTGTCCAAACTATGTCCCTCCAGCTGTTGAAGTGCTACAAGTCCCATCATGCCTCTGCGAGTCTTGCCTGTGCCTGTCAGCATCTTGAAAGGCCTCATGGGACTTGCAGTTCCTCAAAACCTGGAGGGCCATAGTTTGGAGACCCCTGCTTTAAGAGATGGACTTATTCTTGTCTACAATGGGCCAAAGGAATCACAAGCAACTGAATGGAGGCTTCTCAAACTGAATAACCCATTTGACAGTATACAGTAGTCCAATGGCATATCAGCTTATGGCAGTTTTGTGTTGTAAGTTGAACAAAACATTTTTTAACAATTGAACCCTTTGGTAATAAATGGTGTAACTACATATTACACTTAGATGGTGCTTCCCTTTTCTTCTTTTTATCCCTATACACAGAGCTGGCAAACTCTGAGGATAGCTACCGCCGGTGCTCTTAGTACTTATTATGGACAATAAATGGACTTTTTTTTATGGACATTATGTTGGCAGGCTGACCATAATCTTCTTTGTATGCCAGAAGCTCCCTCTTATTCAGTGCATGAAATATATCTCACTGCTGTTCTACATGCAACATCACTAGTGAGTACCTTTTTACAAAGCAATGCATCTCCTAGATTGTAAACTCTACTGAGCAGGGACCTCGGTTTCCTCTTGTACCAAATTGTATTGTAACTGAAATGTCTACCTTCATTTTGAAAAGTGCTCTGCAAACTGTTGGCGCTATATAAATCCTGTATAATAATAATAATAATAATAATAATATACTGTATTCCCAATCTTACTTTAACAAATCTTTTATATGCAAATTGTTTATTTTTTGGGTCATCACTTTTATTCTTATTTCTCGTGTCCTATTTATTTTAGTTTCCAAAATCTTTCCAGAATTGACTATTCCTTGTTTGCTAATATAAATGTTTGAGATGCCTCCAGTTCCAAAATAGAGTCACCGGGTGTTGAGGCTTAAATGTTTTTGGTTTCTTTGTAAGGCAGACAGACTGTGTAATGCAGGCGTACACCCAGGAATGTGGAGAGATTCTGCAAGGTCAAGCAGTGTACGCTCCTGACTAATGAGCATGTGCCTGGAAATGAACACACAGTACCCACAGCTTGGGAATCATTGGTACTGCCGATTTCCTGCTTTTGCCCAACACTTGTTTAAACAAGTCCACCTCCCCCTCCCAACTTCCACACCCTGCTTTTTCAGCTTCATGTGCGTAAAGAAACACAAACCTTCGGAAGACAGAAAAAAAGCCGAAAAGCCTGAAATCCATTTCAAGCCTTTAGAAATGTCCTAAAAATTCACAGAAACACATATTGGTGCACCCGTGTAAATGAGGCTTAAACTGCCATCTATGTAACAAAAAGTATTTGTGCTATTCCCATAAAATAGAATACAATTGGCTGACAGGCAGGATTTTTAATGCAGAAGAGACACGCTTTGTCTCTTCTGCATTAAAAGCGACTTACCTACCTGTTTGCCATTGTACAGAGAGCCATGCATGCGTGGCTCACTGTACAAATTCGGCAATGCCAAATCTGACTGAACTCCTTCGCATGCATGAGAGTTATGCCATCCATGCCAATGACAGTGGCTGGTAATCGAGACCTGGAAGCTGGCTGCCTGAAGATGTCTGATGGGAGCTCGGGCACACCACATCGCTGGAGCGGAGGCGAGTACTGTTCCGCTTTAAACTAAAGTAAAATATCTCCATGTGTAAAGCCCAACTCCAGAAAATCTAAATAATGTCCCTTGCTGTGGAGTTGTGCCTGCACTACTCATTTACATCCAGGGGACAGTGAAAGCACTTGTACTTACCTGAACCTCAGCTTCCCTGACAGAGAGCGTGCTCCCCATGCTCTGGAGGTGGACTGTCCCTACGGACCCTGCATTGGCCTTGATGAGGTCAGAGGACCTTAGACCACTGCAGCATGGGGGGGGGGGGGGGGGGGGGGGGGAGACTGAAGGGACCGGTCAAGCAGCAGCCTGAAGGATCGGGTAAATCTGATTTTCCATGTTCCCTAGACAGAAACTATCAGTCTACCCTTGCAGTGTCGGGCGTTTAAGTTTCCTGCATTTCAGCTCTAACACCCTTATCTCCCCACCCTGCTGCGAACAGTGACATATGACGGTCACAAGGAGAGCAGAGATGTCCCTGATATGGAGGTTGCAATCTGCAGGCAAGATCCTCCCAATGGAGAATAACTAGGTCTGGGGGTTGAACACTCAGGGCCCACTCACACTTTGATGTCCTGGAGCATTACAATAATGTGTGCTTTTGTATGTGTGAAAGGCAGCCCATTCAAATAACTAGGATGACCAGGCACCAAACCATTAAACAAACAAAAAAAAAAAAAAAAAAAAAAAAAAAAAAAAAAAAAAAAAAAAAAGGTACATGCATTATTTTTTGCAACTCAGCACACCACAACGCACATAAGCATGGTACCATGCGTTGAAACACACATACGTTCCCTTAAAAATGAATGGCGCTTGAAGCACGTAAACAGTGCTGCATTAACATAACTGTGATTGAGCCCTTAAGAGTTTTTGCTCAAGAATTATGTACCTGTGGGTTGTTTATAAGATGGACAGTTCGTGTTCACCTGTAGTTTCTGTAAATATTGGCATTGCTTTAGGTTAGATATATATATACAGTTGCAAGAAAAAGTATGTGAACCCCTTGGGATTACGTGGAGTTTTGCATGAATTGGGCATAAAATGTGCTCTGAACGTCATCTAAGTCACAACAATAGAAGAACACAGTCTGCTGAACATAATACTACACAAACATTAGATGTTGCCATGGTTTAATTGCACAGAACATGTAAACATTCACAGTGCAGGGAGGAAAAAGTATGTGAGACCCTAGCTTAATGACTTCTCCCAGAGCTAATTGGAGCCAGGAGTGAGCCAACCTTGACTCCAATCAGTGTGATGATATTGGATGTGTTGCTGACAGCTGTCCTGCCCTTAAAAAAACACACACCAGTTTTGGGTTTACTGGTTTCAAGAAGCACTGTCTGATGTGAACCATGCCTCGCAGAAAAGAGCTCTCAGAAGACCTACGATCAAGAATTGTTGACTTGCATGAAGCTGGAAAGGGTTACAAAAGTATCTCCAAAAGCCTTGATGTTCATGTGTCCACGGTAAGATAGACTGTCTACAAATGGAGAAAGTTTAGCACTGTTGCTACTCTCCCTAGGCATGGTCGTCCTGTAAAAATGACTGCAAGAGCACAGCGCAGAATGCTGCATGAAGCAAAGAAGAATCCCAGAGTGTCAGCTAAAGACCTACAGAAATCTCTGGCACATGATAACATTTTTGTTGACACATCTACAATAAGGAAAACATTAAACAAGAATGGAGTACATGGGAGGACACCACAGAGGAAGCCATTGCTGTCCAAAAAGAATATTGCAGCACGCTTGAAGTTTGCAAAAGAGCTCCTGGATGTTCCACAGCACTACTGGCAAAATATACTGTGGACAGATGACACCAAGATTGAGTTGTTTGGGAAGAACACACAACACTATGTGTGGAGAAAAAAAGGCACAGCACACCAACATCAAAACCTCATCCCCACTGTAAAACATGGCGGAGGGAGCACCATGGTTTGGGGCTGCTTTGCTGCCTCAGGGCCTGGACGGATTGTTGTCATTGATGGGAAAATGAATTCCGGAGTTTATCAAGACATTTTGCAGGAAAACGTACGACCATCTGCCCGCCAAATGAAGCTCCGCAGAGTATGGGTGATGCAACAGGACAATGACCCAAAGCATACAAGTAATTCAACAAAACAATGGCTGCAACAGCACAGAATACGCCTTCTGGAGTGGCCCAGTCAGAGTCCTGACCTCAACCCGATTGAAATGCTGTGGCATGACCTTAAGAGAGCGATTCACACCAGACATCCCAAGAATATTGCTACACTGAAACAGTTTTGTGAAGAGGAGTGGTCCAAAATGACTCCAGATCGTTGTGCAGGTCTGATCTGCAACTACAGGAAACGTTTGGTTGAGGTTATTGCTGCCAAAGGAGGGTCAACCATTTATTAAGTCCAAAGGTTCACATACTTTTTCCTCCCTGCACTGTGAATGTTTACATGTTATGTGCAATTAAACCATGGCAACATCTAATGTTTGTGTAGTATTATGTTCAGCAGACTGTGTTCTTCTATTGTTGTGACTTAGATGACGTTCAGAGCACATTTTATGCCCAATTCATGCAAAACTCCACGTAATCCCAAGGGGTTCACATACTTTTTCTTGCAACTGTATATATATATATATATACACATATATATACACACATACATACACACACATACATACACACACACACACACACACACACACACACAATGCTGCACATATAATCTCCCTCTGTGTTGAATGTAAGAACATTAGGACTCTAAGGCTATGTAGGACTCTACGTCTATATTTTCACGTGTGGCAGTCTCTACCGCCCTTCTGAAAAGCAAATCGGTGGTAGATAGCTTTTCAGAGGGGAATAGAGCCACACCTTGCAGGCATTCAGGAAGGGATACTGCTGTCTCCTGAATGCTTGGTTTTTTTTTTTTTTTTTTTTTTTTTGCCAAATGGGGATTCTGAATGCGATTATTGTGCTAAGGCAAGCAATTGGCCCATGGTTGCAGCACTGTCCTATTGACTTCAATGAGCAAGTTTGACAAGCGGTGCCTCCTGCCATGGCACAATAAGGCAGCTTTTACTCTAAATAAAACTCAAAAATGTATATCAATGGACATCTTTGTTCTGCGTAAACATACTTACTTTGGATAGTTATTACAGTACTGGGTGTAAATATCAAAGTCTTGGCTCTGTAAAGGTAAACCGGAAAAGGATTAAAAGATAGATAGCAGCAGATAATTTACAAATACTTTGCCCCTATCTAGATCATTAAGACGATTTTGAACATATATAGATAATCAGGTTGTGTTTCTGACACAATTAGCGTCCAAGGCCTACAATCATAACATATCCATGATAAAATTGCTATCTACAATGCTATTCATTGCATTTTCTCATAAGCTTTCATTGGAAAACATTTCTTCTATGCCCCAACAGTCTGTAGATTGCCAGAAATGTAGAGATAAAGCTGCCTGTTCCTGTGAGGTCTTGCAGCCTATCTAATGTACACACATTGAAACATTCATCTATTTATTTACAAGTCGTCTAGATAGCACCGTAGCCAACTTTTTATATTTCAATGAAAATTTTCATCAACACAGAATATTTGTTCCATATAAAGAATGAAGGTACAGAGTAAACAAGAAACAAATATGGAGAAGAAAAAAAACCCGGAAATGACCACGTCCCATTTATAGAAATAGTGGAGCATCATACTGACATTGACAACAACTTCGTGGTTAGAAAGTGTACCTTGTGAGCAAGACAAATAACACATCAGTGGGAGCATCCGTCACATGAAGCATATCATAAAGCCACTGAAGTCATCAAAATCTAACAGAGCTATAGGAATAGCAACATAGGGAAGCATGGGAGTTATATTCCCATTGAGGAAAGAGGAAGAAAAGGAAAAAGGAAGAAAAAAGAGAAAGAGAGGAGAGGAGGGTGGCCCAGTGCCCTCATAGGAAGGTCCATCCACTGCTAGTCGCCCGAGAAATATACGGAATCCAAGGCTCCCATGTTTTCTAAAATTTAGCAGTATTACTACGGAGAGTACAGGTGAAATTATCATTCACCATAATCCAGTTCATTTTTTTTTTTAAATCAGATCTTTTTTATTTATTGAAGTTTGGATCCATGTATACATATAATCAATCCAGTTCAATTTATATTTGACATAATCCAGGTACACCACCGCTGTCTTCCAGCAAAATGCAATTGTGATTCTTGCCGCCAAAAGCATATAAAATATAAGCCTTTTGGGCCATTTTGGGATAGCCGGATCCAATTTCTGGAACAAGGCTATTTCCGGGGCCCGAGTAACGTTAACATCTGTAACTGAGCGTTTGAAGTTAAAAATTTGTATCTAAAAATCGGGTCACCTTAGGGCATTGCCACCACACGTGGAACATTGTTCCTTGCTGACTGCAGTGGCGAAAACATGTAGCCAACTTTTTAAATTACCTTTTCCACAAAGCAGGTGGCCACAGCCACAGGGTCATCTCTGCAACTGTCCAGGTCCTGGAGAAGTTCACTGAACAAAGAAGACACTGTGAGGATTCCGGGTAATTACAAGAGCCCATGCATTCATCAATACACAATTCATCAATGCACACATAAAAGAAACAAACCTGTACAATGCAGCGGAGCTGGGACATAGTGATAGAAAAAATTATTTAAAAGCTTATCTAAACCCAAAATCAAAAATGTTATATAAATCGCAGCTCACCAATCCTTAGATGTTGTGGCTGCATTTGTTTTATGTGATTTTTTTTTCCTCTTTGTTTTCATCTACTGCTTCATCCAGTAATACATTTCCTATCTCAGGGTGACTTGGGAAACTAAGAAGGAAGGTGTGTCCAACAGACAGAGGGGCAGCCAAACGCGCCACTCTGTCAATCTGCTCTCTGATACCTTGCAAATATACATCAGGCTTCACAACTTTTCCCATGTAATAGCATACAGTAATAGCCCTGAAGAAGGGTGGAGTTCTTTACCATGAAACGCGTTGGCTTGATGTACTTTTAAGCACAGTCAATAAACACCTTTAAACCTACGTTCAAATTGAAATTCTTTTGGACACCTGGTGCTCTTTCCTTTTTACTTTTCCAAGTCTACATGTGGAAACGACCATAAGACCGTACCAAAAAGGCAACAGCCCAAACCCCAACAGGCTTCATTGCCAATATCAAACAATTGGGACTAGCTGCTGGAGGAATCCCTTCCTGCGTGCCCCCATGACCGCCCACCCGCAACCAGTGATTGGCCAAGTCATTTCAGCGTGGCTTCCAGCACAAACGTGTCTCAGGGCGAGTCCTCCATTTATGGAGGAGCAATTAAGACATTCCTGGACAGTGGCACTGTCTGGAGATGGTAGTGTTAGATGGACTAGTAGATTAAGTTGGACTTTACATTAAATGATCAACAAAATTAAACACAAATCCTGTCAATGCTTTATAAGCAGGTAAAGAAACATTTTTTTTTTCCTTTTGAGATAAAGGTTTTACATAAATAATTAAAAGCTGACCATTGTAAGCACCAGTCAGTGTTAAAGGTGATTTCCATGTTTCCTTTCACTTTAAATAGTTTGTTTGGACCAGCTATTTCCTTCACTAAGAGCAGCAGTTTCTCCAAGCGCTGTGCAAACTGATTGTAACTTCAGCTCCATACAGTACACAGTGCTGGGTTCCGTCTGGGAGACAGACTTTAAACTCATACTTTTGTTGGACAGTTTGGTCTGGTAAAAGGTAAATGAAAAATAATAGCGGATGTACAGGAAATTAAAAAACCCTAACGCTGGCCATACATGGATCAGTTTTGGGGGTTTTTTTTTGTTCAACCAGGAGGTTGAACAAAAGGAAAAAAAAAAAACTAACCCAATTTCACCATCCACACATTTGAGGTGGATGAGGGAATCCTTCCCACTGTGTCATTGCATTCTGACAGTGGGGAGACGTCCCCGCCCGTCCGAATACACTGATCAGCACTGTGGGCTATGGCCTGCAGTGCTGATTGAAAGGAAATGTTCCAGCAGGGTGGGTGTACAGAAGTCAATCGTTAGATCAAGGTCTGTACAACCCACAGTGCCTATATATGGATTGAAATTAAAGTGGTTGTAAAGGCTCAAGGTTTGTTACCTTCATGCACTGTGAACACTACTCCATAAGGCTTGGTTCACATCTGTGTGGGTGGTGCAGCTGTGGATCCACAGGAAAATCCATTCAGCCGCACCACCTGCACAGAGGAATGCGGACCCGTGGGCGGGTGCCATTAGTTCTAATGGCACGCCGCCCGCACTGGAAAACACAACCGTACTGGGAAACCGAGGTTCCAGTGTGAGCTGCGTTTTTAGAAGAAGTGCAGGGACTTCTTCCCTGCGTGTCAAGGGAGTTCATTTAAATGAATGGGCTCTTGTGCCCACGCAAAACACGGCGCCGCCTGTGTGGACCAGGGCTAAAACTCAGTACAAACATTGTATTCTTCACAAACAGGTCAGAAGAAAAAAAACAAACAAAAAAAAAGGTACACTAACCAAGGAAAATAGTCAGCCACTTTACAAAAACAAACATTTTAAAATGTATCTACTGCAAGCAAGAAAATGCAAACTTGTGTTCTAACATACTGACACAAAAAATGAAAATGGGTGTATAAATGGCAGAAAAAGATCCACTAAAAACCATGCTCAACATAGAAGAAAACAGACACATATCATGTACACACACATGCAGATGAAGAGCGTTTTATTCTTTTTGCTCATATTTGCACACAAGGACACCCCAGTATTAACCTACCTGCCAACCGATCACTATGTTTGGGCTTCTTGATACAAATACAATAAGGAAAGAATGCAGATAATATTAGCTTGAGGATGAGTTCCCATACACCAAAGACCAATCAGATTATCACACCATGCAGAGTTATCGGGGATATATAGAGAGGGGATAGAATATGGAACCACAGTAATGCAGACTTTACACCCACATACAGTAGAAAGGTCTGCTTTTTTAGTGTGCCCCTTTGTTGAAACACTATATTAATCTAGGAGACAAAACAAAAAACCCTCTATGGGGAAAATGTTAGATAAAATACTTACCTTCCCACCAGCACCTGGGTGAGAGAGAGGTCATCATCCTTCTCGTGGGAACCCAAAGAATATGGAGTACCCCAAATCTAGCTGAGAAAACAATCCCATGCTGCAGTTCTTTCGCACAAGATTTCAAGTCCAGTATTCTCCAGGATCTTGTCATCAGGATAATGACGTAACTGATTGCATTATGAAAGCTGGGGGAAAGGCGTCCTATCATCTAACCTCTTCCAGCCTTTCAATAAGGTGGAGGTTGGGGGGAGGACACACTAAAAAAGCACCTCTTGTCTGGAGTGCATGTTCTGCTTTATAGAAGAGCAGCTAATGATGGTTACTTTATTTTTCCGCCTTTTTGCAACCCTGAAACTTTCTATTGAAAGGGAGCCATTCCTGAGAGCACCATGGGGGCTGCCATTGCTAACATCCTATTTAGTAAAAGCAAACTGTTGCGGACACTTAGAACCCAGAACATGAATGTACACAAGAATTTCTGACTAGTCCATGTTTTTTTCTGTTTTTCAAAGACAGTAACTAATGCAGGCCATAGATGGGTCAAAAATTGGCCGATTTTTTGGCCGAAAAAAAAAAAGAAAACACAATTTTCGCACCGTTAGTGGGTTAATTGGTCAGCTGTTTTTCGGGGTTTTGGCTCATTTTTATCGGTAAAGTTGGAAAAAAATCAGCCAATTTTGCCGGCAATGATGGGAAAATCGGCAGATCATTTTACCGATAAAAAAAATATGCGCATGAGCCGTGACCTGCAAGAAGAAAAAGAATAAGAAGCAGAAGAAAAAGAAAAAGAAGAAGAGGAAAAAGAAAAAGAAGAAGAAAAAGTAGAAAAAGAAGAAAAAAAAGAAGAAAAGAAAAAGAAAAAGAATTCCAGTCCGCTATTATATTTGACATGAAAAAGTATTGCGGTTGCAACAACGTATCTATTTGTATCTGAACAAAAACATCTGTATCTGAAATGGATACATTGTTGCAAACGCAATACTTTTTCATGTCAAATATAATAGCGGAGCTCTCTGCAAGGACAGAAGTAATTAAATGCTGGCCGTAGACGGGACGAAAATCGGCCGATTTTTTTTTACCATTGGTGGTAACGTCGGCCTATTGAACGACCGATTTTTCGGGGTTTTTTTTTTTTTTTTTTTTTTACGGACAGTTTTCGACCTGTCTATGGCCTGCATTAGAAGGTATTAAAGCTAGTGGGTCTGAATAAAGGCGAGCCAGTGGAGGTCAGCAATGGCAGTCCCCATAATTCTCTTCGGAAAGATTTACTTTAGCTGATTGCCTGGAGTTCAGCTTCAAATACACCAATAAAATACGCTTAAGAAAGCGGTTTTAGCTGCAAATGAATTTGTACTCTGTTCATCCAAAGATGCTGCTTGGCCGCGATTTATCGCATTTTTCAGCATTAGAGCATTTTTACAGCTAGTTGTGGGTTTTTTTTCCAGCCAAAAAACGCCCCTACCAAAAACCGTTGATTACAATCTATGTGTTCATGGACACATAGGATAACATGCTGGGGAGTTTAATAGCTGTAGAAAAAAAAACGTCAAAAGCCAAAAACAGCCGCTGTAAAAAAGTCTAGTGTGCATGAGGACTAATGAAGCATTAATAAGTACAGCTGCCTTTTAGATCTTCTTGGAGTTCATCTTTAAGTAAATCATTCTGGTAGTTCAGTTTCAGAAGAGACCAATGGCCATGAAGCATTGCAGATCTGCTTGCATTTCCTAGGAAAAACATTCTGACTAATAAAACCAAAGATAAAGAGAACAGAAACTAGTTAAAAACAAAATATTTTACCTGTTCAATTCATAAATATCCTCAATATTTCCAAAGAGAGCGCTGACTTGCTCTGGTTTCATAGGCAACTCCTGTTTGTCTATAATGCCTCCCAGATAATCCTACAAGAATAAAGTACCGTCATTTGAGTTTCGTGTATTAATCATGCCGGATTGGCTTTTATGGCCTCATTACTGTTATAGCTGCATCCTGCTCCCCAGGTCATGAGTTTTTATTAGAGGAATAAATACAATTTCTTATTAGGGTGATGCAATAAGCAATAAATCAGATTCTCAGTCCTGGTTTCATTCACTAAATGTCATTTTAAAAGACGCTAAAATAAAGCAATTTTCTGTCTAGAATGTGTGTCATGGAAAATGCTCCATTGGAAGGAAAAGGGACAAAGCATGCATATAAGCTAACTCTACTGTACAATTAACTAAAGAAAAATGTAGTAATTGGAAGTCAAAAAACAAAAACAGACATGTGTTTGTGTGGAATGTACCAACAATAAAGCCTCATAGCCCGAGGGCTCTGTGATGTATTGGATTCCTTGGTGATGGCCAAGCATCTGATTTCAGGTCTGCAGGAAATCAGGCACGAAATTAGTTTACGGAAGATCAAATGTCATTTCTCCTAAGTTTCCATTTAAAGCACATTCACAACATTTTATCCATTTGGGTTACCTTCATTCATTTTTACCCCAAAAAACTGCATAGAAAAAGAACATTCAAGAGATGGTCAAAGTATCCATCTGACTGCACTGCTTCTTAAGGCATGTTCTAGTTTGAATTTGGAAGTACAGAAAGACATGCAGAACAGATAAAATCGATACCGCTCAGATGCCCCAATTTGTTATCCCAAAAGACTGTCCACAATGTTTGCATGTGCTGATTGGGTTGAATACTGGTTCTACGACAAAATGGCACCCATCTGCACACTGTCTTGACTTATAGTAAGCTCCTTTTAGTAAAAAATGGCTTCAGTTTGATCTCCTACTCATGGAAGAACCCCTCTAACATGTTTGCCAAGTAGAGGCTCAATCGTAGGGGAACTCTATGATTGATCCCCTACCAAGCTGAAGCCATTTTTATGAAAACAAGCTCACTATATGCCAAAGCAGTGTGCAGATGAGCGCCATTTTGTTGTATGCACTACAACTCATACACAAGCAAAGCTACAAAAATCCATTCCATAGAACACACAGAAAATAAAGTGGAATTAAGCAAACCATTTTTTAGCTATGAATCAAGTGAAGGAGGACTAGATCTCACATCGTAATTTTTATTTCAATCTGTAATTCTATGGGAACATGGAAGAGATTTTCTCGTTTTCTTTCTTTTCCCCTGTGACACCAGAAGATGAAATGAGGGGAATGGGGACACTGGGGAAGGAAGGTGCATTAATAATAACCTCAAGTCTAAAAAAAAAAAAAAAGTGTTGGTTGCCACTTCTGTTCACAGTGGAGAGATTTCCCAACCCATTCTGTACCTCTAACCCAGGGATCCCCAAACTTTTCAAACAAAGAACCAGTTTACAGTCTTTACGACTTTAGGGGGGTGCATACTGTGGCCAGTGGGGGCAGAAAATGTCCTAGGCCCAACATCAGTGAAAATAAACATGGCCTTGGGGTTGATAGGAGGGGGAGTAGTGTTCCATCATTGGTATTAGTGGGAGGAATAGTACATCATCATTGGTATCAGTGGAAGAAATAGTGCACCAGGGTCAGTGGGAGGAATATCACTCAATGCTTCATATCACTGGGAGAAATAGTGCCCCAAGGGTTGGATAAGGGCTAGCAAAAGGCCAGAGTTTGGAGACCCCAGCTCTAACTGTGTGGCCTAAACACAGTTGTCAGAAAAATCTTTTAGCATTCTAAAAGGTGACTAACCAAAGATACCAGTCTCCCATTTTTAGACAACATAATCTCTATTAGGTCAGAGGAGACATCTCTGGTCAAGGCCAGTCTGGGGTGAGAAGTGTTAGGATAGGTAGTAAATCCTTGGTGGAGCACTAATGCTTTCTCAATGATAAGCCAGCACCATGCCTCCCCCACATTTTTCCATAGGAAAGTGCTGAAGGATTTACATGGATGAGAGAGATCCTACTGTCTCTTACGTCTAAGGATATTATTAGGGGATCTGTGGATGAGGAGAAAATCACAAGGGTGGCAACCAGATTATTACTAAAGAATGATTACACTGCATAGTGGTTACCATCCATACAACAAGGGTACTACAATGCCTATTATTTACAGAGATTTGCCACCATGCTGGGGATGTTCTGCATTATTTGTAGTACGATTCTATATTTACCATAGAAATGATTGTGATGTGTTTACTGAACATTACCCGAAAGAAAACATCGCCTATACCAGGTTAAAATATCCAGGACAGTTTAGCATTTGTAAAGGTAAGCAGCTCTGTAATTTTTAATATTTTAAATGACAGCTTTGTCTATGACAAGAAAAAAAAAAAGCCTAGTCTAGAGTAAGAGGCACCCAGGATCGCAATTTGCAGCAGGTTGCAAATTTTATTAAAGTTTGATATTTATTCAACACATCTTTAATTATATAGAATATATCCTTTTTTCAATGAACGTAAAAAAAGAGCTTTAATCTTAAATATATACACATATATATATACACACACACACACATATATACAGTCATGGCCGAAATTGTTGGCACCCTTGATATTTTTCCTGAAAATCAAGTATTTCACACAAAAAAGGTATTGCATTAACACATGTTTTGCTATACACATGTTTATTCCCTTTGTATGTATTGGAACAAATATAAAACAGAGGCAGAAAAGCAAATATGACATAATGTCACACAAAACCCCAAAAATGGGCTGGACAAAAGTATTGGCACCCTTAACTTAATATTTGGTTGCACACCCTTTGGAAAACATAACTGAAATCAGTCGCTTCCTATAACCATCAATAAGCTTCTGACACCTCTCACCCGGAATTTTGGACCACTCTTCCTTTGCAAACAGCTCCAGGTCTCTCTTATTGGAAGGACACCTTTTCCCAACAGCAATTTTAAGATCTCTCCACAGGTGTTCAATGGGATTTAGATCTGGGCTCATTGCTGGCCACTTCAGAACTCTCCAGCGCTTCTTTGCCATCCATTTCTGAGTGCTTTTTGACGTATGTTTGGGGTCATTGTCCTGCTGGAAGACCCAGGATCTTGGACGCAAACCCAGCTTTCTGACACTGGGCCCTACAGTGCGACCCAAAATCCTTTGGTAATCCTCAGATTTCATGATGCCTTGCACACAGTCAAGGCACCCAGTGCCAGAGGCAGCAAAACAACCCCAAAACATCATTGAACCTCCACCATATTTTACCGTAGGTACTGTGTTTTGTTCTTTGTAGGCCTCATTCCGTTTTCGGTAAACAGTAGAATGATGTGCTTTACCGAAAAGCTCTATCTTGGTCTCATCTGTCCACAAGACGTTTTCCCAGAAGGCTTTTGGCTTACTCAAGTACATTTTGGCAAACTGTAGTCTTGCTTTTTTATGTCTCTGTGTCAGCAGTGGGGTCCTCCTGGGTCTCCTGCCATAGCGTTTCATTTCATTTAAATGTCGACGGATAGTTCGCGCTGACACTGATGCTCCCTGAGCCTGCAGGACAGCTTGAATGTCTTTGGAACATGTTTGGGGCTGCTTATCCACCATCCGGACTATTCTGCGTTGCAATCTTTCATCAATTTTCCTCATCCGTCCACGACCAGGGAGATTAGCTACAGTGCCATGGGTTGCAAACTTCTTGATAATGTTGCGCACTGTGGACAAAGGCAAATCTAGTTCTCTGGAGATGGACTTGTAACCTTGAGATTGTTGATATTTTGCCACAATTTTGGTTCTCAGGTCCTCAGACAGTTCTCGTCTCCTCTTTCTGTTGTCCATGCTTAGTGTGGCACAGACAGACACACAATGCAAAGGTTAAGTGAACGTCTCTCCTTTTTATCTGCTTTCAGGTGTGATTTCTATATTGCCCACACCTGTTACTTGCCCCAGGTGAGTTTACAGGAGCATCACATGCTTGTAACATTCTTATTTATCCGCAGTTGTGAAAGGGTGCCAATACTTTTGTCCAGCCCATTTTTGGAGGTTTGTGTGACATTATGTCGAATTTGCTTTCTTTCCTCCCTTTTTTTGTTTTGTCCCAATACACACAAAGGGAATAAACATGTGTATAGCAAAACATGTGTTAATGCAATACGTTTCGTGAGAAATACATGATTTCCTGGAGAAATATCAAGGGTGCCAACAATTTCGGCCATGACTGTATATACACACACACACACACACACACACACACACATATATATACACACACACACATATATACATATATACACACACACACACACACACACACACACGCATACATACATGCACACAGTTGTGCTCAAAAGTTTGCATCCCTTGGCAGAAATTGTAAAATTTTGGCATTGATATTGAAAATATGACTGATCATGCCAAAAAAAATGCTCTTTTATTTAAGGATGATGATTATATGAAGTCATTTATTATCAAATAGTTTTGTTGGCTCCTTTTTAAATCATAATAACAGAAAATCATACAAATGGCCATGATCAAAAATTTCCCTCCCCTGGAATGTTTGGCCTTGGTACAGACACATAAGGTGACACACACGGGCTAAAATGCCAATTAGAGATTAATGTCCCACATCTGTGGCTTTTTAAATTGCAATTAGTGTCAGTGTATAAATAGTCAATGAGTTTGTTAGCTCTTACGTGGATGCACTGACTAGGCTAGATACTGAGCCATGGAAATCAGAAAAGAACTGTCTAAAGTCCTGCATAACAAGGTAATGGAGCTTTATAAAAATGGAAAAGGACATAAAAAGATGTCCAAAGCGTTGAATATGCCAGTCATCACTTCCACTAAGAAGTAGAAAATTCAAGGATTCATGGCTTCATATGAACATCATCCTTCAATAAAAGAGCATTTTTTGGCATGATCAGTCATATTTTCAATATCAATGCCAAAATTTCACAATTTCCGCCAGGGTATGCAAACTTTTGAGCACAACTCTACATACACACACACACACCTTACTTCTGGCTAGTATACATTTTAGAAAC